ACGCGGCTGTCTTGAAAAGGACACTTGGTTCCTCAAAGGGCTGAATCTGACGAGACTTGTCAGGTTTTGATGCAGACAGACACAGGTTTTGTGTTTCTGCGAAGCTAGTTCCTCTGTAGCTAGCCAGAAGTTCATATCTGCGTCGTTTGTGAAGCGACTGTAGCTCAGAGGACCTTAGCCCTGACTGGAAAGCTGGTTGGCTGTTTGACAGAACAAAGACCATTTTGCACTCTAGGATTTCTGAGCAGTGAATAATTTAGCTATAAAAATTCACCAAATACACCAGATTTCTCTGAAGGAAGCTGTTAAAAGATGTTGTTTACACAAAACCAACAAGTTTTCTGAGAGCAACAATCCGTCCAACCTCCTTCTTCAAAGCAAGTCTGATACTGACTGACCACTGACTGCAGACCTTTATGTATATGTCCATGCTGCCAGCGTCAGTCATAAAGGCTTTGTGACGTCATCACGCCACCTGCGCTTCTGTGCGTGCAGACGATTACAATTGTACTGCTGCGCATGCGTGAACGCTGTGGCCGTCTTGTGTGTCGGGTTTCTGTCTCCAGAGGGTCCGGTCCGGTCCAGTTGGGACAGAAAGAACGTTTAGCTGCTTCTGCAGGTTCTAATGAAACACTTTTAAACACTAAAGACTAGAAATGGCAGTCCTACCTGTAAATACGAGCTCAATGAAGCACGTAAAAGTAAATACGTGAACTTTGCGCACATGCAGCAAAAACAGTAGAATTTAACGAAGCACACGGCAGGTCTCCATGGCAACAAGGGCTCGCTTCCACGTTACATAAAAGGGGTGGACAATGGTTTCCGGCGCTGAATCCAGGAAGTAGAGAAAACAAGACTGACCAAACAGAAAAACTGTCATTAGAAAATATCATTAACATGAAATCAGGCAGATGAAGTCAGTTGTCTTAACCACGGTGTTTCAGGTAAATGTAAACCGTCTGTTGGACCAATGTCGCCCTCCTGTGCCTGTTTGCTGGTACTGCACCTAAAATATTGACATTATTCTAATGGTTCTGAAAGAAAATGAAACAACTGTAATAAAACCAGAAAATACACCCATGCACCAAACATCTTCATCACGCTGTTGTAAAAACCATCTCTGACATTTCCTCTCCCTGGCTCGCACTGGTCAGCGAGGCGCTGTCTGCATTTTCACTGCTCATTAATGGCACCCAGTCAGACGCAAGCACGTGCAGCATGGAACGAGACACGTGTGTTAAAATGTATTTGTACAGGATTTAAAAAGCTGACAGTGCTTCACAATAAATCTTAAGGCACCATAGATTAAATTAAGGACATAAATGCAAAAATAAAATAGATAAAACAAAAAGTCATACAGCCAAAATCTAGTTAAAACCATGATACATAAATCAGCTGCTGTTAAAAACAACATAGAGATGATTTTATTACCGGATGTAGTATGTTTGTGTCCCTGCTGCATAGTTCTGGAAACCCAGTTTTGTTATTGGTTGTTTTTAGTGGTTGAAGGTTACTATAATAGCTTACTGCCTTTGTGTGTTTACCTCTAATCTTATTAATTTCCCTTTTTCTTTTCTGTAAGTGTTTGTGCTGCTCTAGCAAATGAATTTCCCCACTGACATTACTGTTCTATTCTATTCATCCACCTGGGACCAGTGCTCTAAAACATCTCCTGTTGTGTGAAAAACGGGTGTGGGAGTTTCTACACCAGCCCACGACTAGAAGATCTTAGACTGTCCCCGTGTCCCCGTGATGGACTGACTGATGGAGTTCTGTAGCAGCTCCCTGAGACCACACTGAGAAATAAGCATGGGAGAGAGATAGTGGGTGGGTGGGGCTTATTTAGATTGAATTTATTATTTATTCATTTTATTTATTTATTTACTTACTTTTTAATCTTCTGAGTCTTCTGAGTGACGTCAGCGTGACGCGTAACTTCATGTTTTGCTGCACATCTCGACATGTCATGGCAACATAATTGGGGTGGCTCGCTCTTGGTCTCTCAGTCTAAGTTGAATTACTGAAAAAGATGGACTTTTACACAATATTTACATTTTTCCAGTTTCACTTGCATGTCCTCCATCAGATTTCTAGATGACCTGGTGTGACTTTTCCAAAGTGATGATTTGTGCTGGTTATTGTTATAAAATTTAACCTCACGGTTATTGTGACCAAAATTATCACGGTTTTCGGTATTATCGCGGTATTTTTTTTAAACGTGTTACATTTCCAGACAACTAAATAATCCCTGTATACCAGGAAATTATTGTCCTCAGTTTGTGTCTAAGTTTTGCCTAAAGTTTGTCATTTTGTAATTATGTTGTTTATTCCTTTACATTTTTCCCCTTTAGTCTTTAAAATACCAATATTTACCCATATCTTCTTAATGTTTGTCTGTTTGATGTCATCATTTAAAAAATATTAGATCAGATGATACTCAGGCCCTGTCCACACGTAGCCGGGGATCTGCCAAAACGTAGATATTTTTCTACGTTTTGGCCTGTCATCCACACGAAAACGGAGTTTTTTCACACGAAAACGGATCTTTTTAAAAACTCCGGCCAAAGTGAAGATCTGCGTTTTCTCCGTTTTGGGTGTCTGTGTGTGGACAGACAAAACCGGAGTTTTAAGGTCCGCAACGTCACTTTCCGTGACAAAAAGATGCTGACATCACGTGTGCGACCTGTGTTTACACTAGCCGACAGCATGGATGCCCTCAGAGCTGCGCTCGCTTTATCAATCGTCCAAGCGCTTTTTGCTTGTTTGTTTTTGCAAGCAGAATTACTGCTTGACCACAGACGAAGGACGAGGTTAAGAACGGGGGAAGTACTGCCGCCTACAGGTCTGGCATGTCCTTAACGTATTTATCCGGGTACGTGTGGACAGAGTTTTTTTTTAAAAGGAGCTGGTGTGGATGCAAGTTTTTGGAGGGGCGGATATTCGTTTTAAAAAAGACCCGGCTACGGGTGGAGTACATGCATTTAATATATATATATATATATATATATATATATATATATATATATATATATATATATATATATCACTATATTACACTCCTCCCCTTTTAACCATGAAGTTCCCCCTAAAGCATCACACGTTCTAAATAACATTAACTGTAGCCAAATTCCTGCCAAAACACAAAAGCCTATACATACTCCATCACTGCTGCTAATGCCACAGATTTAACTTATACGTTTTCATTTTCCAACAGGAACTTTTTTTTTTTTTTTTTTTTTTTGTATATTTTCCAACAGGAACTTTTTTTTTTCAATTGCCAACAGGAACTCTTTTATTTTATTTTATTTTTTCATTTTCCACAGCTCAACCTGATCATAAGTTCAGTCGTTTGGGAGGTGCCCTCTCCCTTCGAAGGTATCTGCGCTCCAACACCTCAGTGGACCTGGCTGCACTGTTGGCAGGTGTCACTGCCTTGTCAGCAGCCGCTGAAACCGGTAACGGTGTTACAGGCATGTCCTTAGCCTGCGTCTGTGGTAATGGTGTAGCTTCAGGTGAGTACAGGCTACCACCTACTGCTCCAGGTGTGCCTTTCCCCCCCAAATCTGGCTGGACCGCTGCAGAGTAGTTATCCTGAACCCCCGTCTGCTGCTCCTGGAACTCCATTGTCTCTGGACTGGATGGCCGCTTATACAGCAGATGATCAATGTGCACTGACTGTCGATTTACTCCGTTCCACACCCAGTAAGTGACTGGTCCCAGTCGCTTTTCCACGATTCCCTCAGTCCATCTCTCCCTTCCTCCGCGGAAATTTCGGATCAGAACTGAGTCCCCCTCTGACAGATGTCTCAACGTGGAGGCTGGTCGGTCATGGTAGTATTTCTGTTTCTGTTTTTTGCCTTCCACAACTTTAGCAAGATCTGGTTTCAGCAGGGAGAATCTGGTCCTAATCTGACGTTTTAGGAACAGTTCAGCGGGCGTACATCCTGTAACACTGTGTGGTGTACACCTGTAAGAAAATAGGAAGTTTGCAAGCCTTTGTTGCATTGTTATAGTGATATTTTGCTTCTTCTCATCCAGCACCTGCTTCAGCAACGACGCCTTCACGGTCTGGACGGCCCGTTCTGCAGCTCCATTCGAAGCGGGATGGTAAGCCGGTACCAAGGTTTGTTTGATGCCGTTGTTCTGCAGAAAAGCCTTGTACTCCTGTGAGGTAAATTGTGGGCCGTTGTCTGAAACAATCTCCTCAGGGAGACCGTAGGAAGAGAAAATGTTTCGCAGCACCTCAATCATTTTGGCTGCGGTGGTAGTTTTCATTTGGATCACCTCCAGCCATTTTGAATGACTGTCCACTCACACAAGGAAATTGTGCTGCTCTTTCTCTGCGAAGTCAATATGTATCCTCTGCCACACTCTGGTAGGCCACTGCCAGCAGTGTAGAGGTGCTGGTTCTGGAAGTTTCCTCACACTTTGACACACGTTGCATTGTTGTACTGCATGTTCTATGTCTTTATCCAGCTGAGGCCACCACAAGTAGCTCCTGGCCAAGTTTTTCATTTTGCTTCCTCCAGGGTGTCCTTGGTGTAGGTCGTGCAGTAGTTGTTCTCGGTGTGCTGGTGGAATGATAACTCGAATTCCCCATAGAATGCACCCTTGTTCCACTGACAGTTCATTCCTTCGGGTGAAGTATGGTTTTAGTGTCTCGTCTTTGATGTAGTTGGGCCAACCAAGCCGAGTCAGCTCCAGTACTTTACGCAGGACGGGATCTTTGAGGGTGTTTTGCGCAATCTCAGGAGCCTGTACAGGAAGTTCATCTACTACTGAGAAATAGAAAATTCCGTTCTCCTCTGCTGTATTATCCCTTCCTTTTTTTGGAAGTCTAGACAATGCATCTGCGTTTGCATTCTCCGCCGACGTCCTGTACTCTATACTGTAGTCATACGCCATCAGTCTCAACGCCCATCGCTGCATCCGCAATGCAGCTAAAGTGGGAATTTTGGACTTGGGTCCGAGGATGGCAAGGAGTGGTTTGTGGTCAGTTATTAAACTGAATTTTCTCCCATACAGATACTTATGAAATTTGGTCACGCCGAATATTATGGCCGGTGCCTCTTTCTCGATCTGACTGTATTTGCTTTCTGCCTCCGTCAAGGTACGTGGTGCAAAAGCGATTGGTTTCTCGTCTCCATTTTCCATGATATGCGACATGACCGCCCCTATCCCATAAGGGGATGCGTCGCAAGCTAGTCTCAGGGGTTTCTTGGTGTCATAGTGAACCACTACTGAGCTCTTTACTAGTTGTTCTTTTGCATTATTAAATGCTGTCGTGCACTCTGGTGTCCATTCCCAGTGTACTTCTTTCTTTAAAGGTTGGTGTAGCGGTTGTAGAACGGTTGACAGGTCTTTCATGAATCGGCCATAGTAGTTTAACAACCCTAAAAATGACCGTAGCTCTGTGACGTTTGAGGGCTGGGGTGCATTTACTATGGCAGCTACCTTTGTCTCCGTTGGATGTAATCCTTCTCTGTCAATCAGGTGGCCCAGGTACTCCACTTTCTCCTGCATGAAAGTACATTTTTCTCTTTTCACTCTCACCCCATAGTTCTCTAAACGGCTCAGCACCTCCTTTAAGTTCCTCAGGTGTTCCTCTCTGGTTCTTCCCGTAATAAGTATGTCATCCAGAAAACAGGTCACATGCTCCAAGCCTTGTAGGATCTGGTCCATCACATTCTGGAACATAGAGAGTGCACTAGACACACCGTAGGATAGTCTATGATAAGCATATAGCCCCTTGTGAGTATTTATAACTAAATACTTCTCTGAGTTTTTCTCGAGCACCAGCTGTTGGTAGGCATGTGACAGGTCTAATTTGCTGAAAAGAGTGCCCCCATCTAGAGTGGCAAAAAGGTCTTCAACCGTAGGTAACGGATAGCTCCCCTCTTCCACACTCTGATTTACTGTGACCTTATAGTCACCACAAATGCGGATGGACTTGTCAGATTTTGGCACCACTACTATTGGGGCAGCCCACTGGCTATGTTCTATCTTTGAGATAACACCGGCTTTCTCTAACCGGTTTAACTCCTTTTCGACTGCCTCCTTCAGTGCATATGACACTGGTCTTGCCTTCCTGAAAACTGGTTTTGTATCGGGCTTTACTGTGATGCAGGCCTTAAACTTTCGGATAGTACCCGGCTCCTCTGAAAACACGGCGGTGTGTCTCTGTAACACTGTCTCTACATCTGTATCATTACTGCCCCCTACTGGTAACACTGAGAATATTCCTGCCCAGTCAAGTTTGAAACTTGTGAGCCAGTTAAGGCCCAGGAGGGCTGGTCTGTCACCTTTCACTTTCACCAGAGGGAAAACACCACTCTGGTTCTCATATTTAGCCTTAACGGTCACTGTACCCAGTAAGGGTATGTTCTCACCAGAAAAGGTTGACAGCCGCACTTTCGTTGCTTCCAGGGGCAGATGAGAAAGATGTTTCTTATACACTATCTCTGGAACCAGTGTTACTGCCGCTCCTGTGTCAACTTGCATGTCTATAGGGGTTTCTTCTAATTTCACAGTTACTTTAATGTCCTTTTTTCCCTTCCCCACAGTATAAGTGGAATACACCGTGTTCATGAACAGCTCCTCCTCAGCTTCACTTCTTGCCGTGTCCTTTGGACTGCTGGTCTCAGCCACATACTGTGTGTTTCCCAGCCATTTTTTTGTTTTGCACATCCTTGCTATGTGTCCCACCCTTGAACACTTCCGGCATGTCTCTGTTTTAAATCTGCATCCTTGCGCTGCATGATTGTTACCACCACATCGGTAAGAGGGCTGGTGCATTGTTCTCTGTGGGATGGAATGTTCACTTTTAACTGTACTTTTCCACCCGCTACCTGCTGGGTTGGTTTGCCAGGCACTTTTAGTTTCTCTCTTTTTGTCTATCTTATTCACAGTTGAATGGCTTTTTAGGTTACTTGCAAATAGGGGTTGTACGAACCAGTCGACTAGTCGACTAGTCGACTTCACGGCTCTGTAGTGATTTTTTATGCCTGTCATCAACTAGTCGCTGTCACGTGATAATGACTGACAAGATGCAGTCCTCGGAAAAGACAGCAGGTGATGAGCCCCTGCGCGTCTGGATCGAGGCGGAGGCAACGCGCTGTGCGGTACTGACACCGGCGGTAAAACGGACATTTAACCAAACTGTGACCTTTTCCCTCTTGCAATTTAACCTTCCCCTCACCCCCATCCTAATCTTAACCAGTTTGTGCATGCAAAGCTCTGATCGTTGACGTGCGCTCCAGACATTGCGTCCTGAGCACCGCCAAATCAGGTGTCACCACCTCAAAAACAAATTAAACACGCGATCGTTCATGTCGGCTCATTTCCTTTCATGTTTTCTGTCTGTTATTTGTGCCTGATGCGTTTCGCTGCTGCGGAGCGAGGCTCTTCACCTGTTTTGTTCTCTGGTGACGCACCCCCAAGATTCCACCATCTCCGCTCCGCTCCGGCATGAACTCCGCAGCAAAAACGGTCCCGTTGTAGTCGGCCGGCGAGCAGCGGCACTCCGCTGTTTTTGCGGTCGGTAGATCTTTTTAGAACTGCAGTTCAAAGGTAACTCATAAGGTGAATATATATGAACGCAGGTAGCAGTTTCTCTTTAGGATTGAGAGGAGATGCAGGAAGATAATAAACAGACAGGACAGAAAAATAGTCAAATAAAAACAATTTAGTTTTTGTACCTGGTGGTTGCAACAAACAGACACCACTGAAGGTAATCAGAAGTGAGGAACAGAAAATGAAATAATTATTTTAATGTTTAGAGCAGCAGGAACTCCGAGAGGCTGCAGGCGCATCAGTGAGTTTGCGGCTGCTGCGCAGGGGGAGGGGGAGAGGCCTGAAGTAAGATGCAGAAACTACCGTTGTTAAAAGAGATGTGTTAACTTAGAAAATGTGGGCGCAATTTTAATTGTCAAAAACTCCAGCGAACCTACCGACCGACCCCCCGCCCCCCCACCCCCGCTTCCGGCGTATGACGTCATCAACGACTAGTCGAAGTCGACTCGACTTTCATTACTTGACTGTCGACTTTAAAAAAAATAAAGTCGTGCAGGCCCTACTTGCAAACTCCATTGTATTCTTTGATGCCATTTCCATCGATAGAGTCAGTTCACATGCTTTTGCAAATGTCAAATCCTGTTCAATGAGCAATTTTCTCTGAATAGCCTCCACCTTTAACCCACTGACGAATCTGTCCCTCAGTGCTTCGTCTAAATGACGGCCAAAGTCACAAAGTGTGGACAAGCGCTTTAATGCCACTACATAATCTGACACAGACTCATTTTCTTGCTGGTTCCTTTTTTGGAATTTAAACCGTTCAGCTATAATTAGCGGCTTTGGCTTGTAATGAGCTGTTAATTTCCCGCTCAGTTCGTCATATGAGAGGCTACTAGGCTTATCTGGTATACAGAGGTTCTTTAACAGTCCGTAAGCTTAAGCGCCAATCACGGACAGAAAAACGTTGGCCTGTTTTCCATCATCCACCTCATTTACAATAATCCACTGCTCAAACCTCTCCAGGTACGACTCAAAGTCCTCTTGTTCTTCCTTGTATTCTCCAAGGTTGCCAATGAACGCTGCCATGCTGCTCCGATGGCGTTAGCTTTGCTCCCGTTAGCTTAGCTTAGCCTGCCAACCTCGTGTTCAGTTACCTTAGTGTAACCACTTCCGAAACGCTCCGCAACTGGGTCTTCCTTATTTTTTTCTTCTTTAAGGATTATCCCATCCTCATCGCCATTGTAATAACTTTGACTGCTGCTAAACTGTTAATATATCCATAACAGTGAAGACACCGAGAACCACCGACATGTTCAGTTCACACGTCCTTTATTTCCCCTCACTTCCGCCACACACTCCATTTCACCATCTCCCCACTAGGTGGCACCATGGTACAACCAAATATATAAACTGAGCCCGGCTGAACAGTATATTGTTTCATCCCTCTAATACCTAATATATATATATATATATATATATATATATATATATATATATATATATATATATATATATATATATATATCACTATATTACATGCATCACATATTGTAATAAGTTGGTCAAGTAAATCACGCATAAGGAAGTGTGATCGCTAGTGGTGTGCATCTCTACCTGCCTCACGTTTCGATCCGATTCCGAATATTTGCCTAACGATTCGATTTGAGTCTGAAATGCATCACGATTCTTCACACAAAAATGTTCATTCTTTAATAAAAGCAGTAGAATAGTTTTCAATTTCTTTTTGATTTCGAAATCCCTGAAAAACAGAACATTCATCTATTCACTATAGTGAGCAATAATTTTTAAAGTGTGCTGCCTATAATTACTTAAATAATATAAGAAATAATATTTTCGGTAGAGCTTTAAGATAGAATATTACTGAACTTAAAAATAGTAAACAAATACTGTGTTAAGTGGTTCTTTCACATCCAGGATCCCAAAACCGAAATTAGACATCCAGATTTAAATGTAACGGGTACATCTTTGATTACTGGTAATGTTGGCCCTGTATCCCTGTCCGCCTTTTCTGATTTAAATTGGCGCTAGGGCAACTCAGTGCGCATATCATTGCAACTCTGCCCCCAGAAGTAATTATAAAACCTCAAAACTTTATTGTCCTGCATAGACATAGACCAGGGGTCGGCAACCTGTTCCCATCAAAGAGACATTATTACCCGTTTCCCAAAGTAAAGAAAACACCGCAGCAGCCGCGGCATTGTGGGCGGGGCCTACCCTCAGACAGTAGAGAGCTGCTCACAAGCAGCCAGTACCGGTCGCTCGTGTACGTCAACGCTATCTTTCATAAGACGATAATCAATAAAATGATTTATACAAAGTGGATCCAGAAGTTGTAGCCCGTCTCTGCCTACAGTATTTTGATATTTTTCACCCTGTTGGTGGTTTTACTGAGCAGGTGCCACTTTTGACATACGTTTCTTTTTAAAACATGTTTAGACTGTTCAGAATACAAATCCAGGCTCTGTCACGTTTGATTGTTGTAATTAAACTTTGTAGGTGGGGAAGGTCAGAAAAAGATCCGATCATTTTGTTTTTCCCTCATTTAAAGTGACGGAGATAACGGCGCAGTGTGCCTGGCTCTGGTGTCAATCAAGTTAAATTATATCTCTTTGCAACAATTTTCACAAGAAAACAGATCAGTTAAAAGCAGGGCTTGTGTTGTGTTGACCGGATAGTTCCTGTATTTAACAGTTTATTTTGACGGAGAAAGAATTACCCCGATGCATGCAGACGAACTGACACTTTATTCGTTTCGCGCAGATGTAGCTAAATCACTTAAGGAATGATTCCCATCTGAGCTTGACACTGAGCTCAGCGCAGCTCGCTGTCAGCGCGTACGTACGGCGCACAGCGAGCTGAAGATGTGGAGAGGGGCTTGGAGCACGTCGCAGAAAGCACATGCAGGAAGATTCCTGCGACTGAAGCGAGACTTGTCACTATGAAACTTTGGCTGAATAGTGCTTGTTCCTGTCTCCAATGTGGCGACACATCCAGGAGCTGAGGAGAATCCCAGAATCTCACATCCTCGTCAGCTCAGAACCCGCATATGATTACGCACAAGCGTGACCCGTCAACCTGGTCTCACAGTAGACCGGGTTGGAACTGTTCAGGTTTACGCAGACAATCTTTACATTTAGAATTGGCATACAGATGTAAAATTTATGCAGTAAAATATAAAGCATTTTATTTAAATATCCATTCATTATTTTACAAACACAGAGAGCCGCATCAGATGGATGGAAGAGCCGCATGCAGCTCCAGAGCCGCTGTTGCCGACCCCCGACATAGACATAGGGAGAGAATCTCATTATGTCACGTTGCTGCATCGATGCGGAATCATGCACGGCTGAATCGCGATGCATCTTAGAATCGATCATTTTTCCCCAGCTCTAGTGATCGCCCAGGGCACCAAACGAGCTAGGACTGCCCCTGGTTGTAGATCTTAGGTTATGTATTGTTTTCTTTTGACATTTATATACTTTTAACATCTTAATACTTATAATTATTTTACAGTGTCTGTTTCGTACCTTGCTTCTAACCTTTTTTTCCGTTGGTTTGGCATGGACCTTGTTCATTTCGTTCAGAATTGCCATCAGCACCATGAGCGTTTTTAGCCTATGTTGGGGAGTGCTGAAGCACCCCTAAATCATCTCCCAGCACCCCTAAAATGTGAGAATTTGAAATGTTTATTTTTACTAAATGTTTTAATCACACTTGTAAAATGTAAAAAGCATACAGTGCTTGGTTGAAACGTCTTATTTCAGTAGCAAAAATGCAGCAAAGCTCTCCCTCCTCAAAAGTAGTTTGATCCTGTTCACCTTTGCCAGAGTCCAGCTCCGAGCCTCCGTAGGCCAGCAGCCTCCATAGCTGAGTGGCTGCTGTAGTAATGTCAGACTCGAAGACTGGGTTCGGGAGTAAGAGCTTTTATTATACAGACGGTGGGCTGAAAGCGGTGCTGGAAAGGCTGACGGATGAGGTCTGAGGAGGAAAGGTGGAGCTTTAGCTGTAGTAGCTTTGGAAATACTCTCATGGATCACGGTGGAACGATGACTGAGTGAAGAGCCGGTGTAGCGTCTTCCATATATAGACATGGATTGACGCAGGTGAAACGTGGAGGGAATCCCCACGAGGGGCATGCTGGGTAATGTGATCCAAGACGGAAGCCGGTCAGCTGGGAGAGCCCGGCCTGGGGGCTTGGACTCTGACAGGACCCCCCGGTCCAGGGACGGCTCCAGAAGTCCCCGGGCCACCTCGGTGG